GTGTTAGATCCATTGCACTAATGACATGTCCTATAAAAAGTATGTCCAGTCTGCACATTAAGCTGTTAATAAAAATATGCTGTTTTTGGTTCAGTTAAGATATTTTAAATTCCCACAGCAACTCTGGGATTGGATTTGGAGTGGGATTATGGTGAGAAGCATTGTATGGGAGTCTAAGTGTCAGATTTGGAGTAAAAGGAGACTTAGATTCAAATTCTATTTCTGACTGTGTTATTTAACTGGTCTTACAGTCACAGCTAGGCATTATTCTCTGTTTTCAACTTCTGGAATCTATTGCTTCAGTATCACTTATAGGTCATCTCAGCTCTTTTTTTTTTTTTTAATAAAATGTGGTGATTGTAAAGCCTCTTCCTGATAATGTCTGGCTGAGCTTTTTAGACATATCTAGAGATTATGAGTCACCACACTGAGCTAAGAAAAACTAAGCTGTGTACCTCTGGACTATGACTGGGGCTAAGACACAGTTATTTATTTTAGACAACTATGACCAGGGATTAGAAATTTCTAACATCACTTCAGGCTTGATATGAAAAAGAATAAGGAACAGAGGTCATTATTCTTTTCTTGTGTCTTATATTTCTGCCTTTATTATATATCGATATCTACCTAAATATCTATGTATCTATCCATTCACACATATATATTCTCAACAACAACATCGACAATAGAACAGAACTCTAGCTTTGGTACTATATATTGGCTGTCTGATGAGGCTTTACAAATAGCTGAGGAAAGAAAGAAAGCATTACTGATATAGAGCCAGGAAGAACAATGCCGAGGAATGTTCAAGTTACCCAAATAATTTTGTTCGTTTCACATACCAGCAAAGTTATACTTAAGATTCTGCAAGCTAGGCTTCAGCAATATGTGAACCAAGAATTACCAGAAAAGTAGGCTGGTTTTTGAAGAGGATGAGGAACTAGAGAAACAAGTTGCCAACATTTGCTGGATTATGGAAAAAGAAAGGAAATTCCAGAAAAAAACATCTGCTTCTGCTTCATTGACTACACTAACACTTTTAACTGTGTGGATCACAGCAAAATGTGGCAAATCCTCAAAGAGATGGGAGTGCTAGAACATCTTACTTGTTTCCTGAAGAACCTGTATGCAGGCTAAGAAGCAAGAGTTAGAACCAAACATAGAACAACTGATTGGTTTAAAGTTGGAAAAGGAGTATGATAAGCCTATTCTATTATTACTTTTTTATATTTAATTTTAAATTTAAGTATATTTCAACTTTATATTTAATTTATATTTTATTTTCTTTGGACTTTTATACAGGTGGATAAGATAACTGCTTTTTGTAATTGAATAAAACTATTGGATTGTAAACTTGTCTTCTGTATAATCACTGAAAGAGTCTTTAAGACAAATCTTATAGCAGACAGAATGACAGAAATGAGACATACTTCATCCTACTTCTATACAGATTTGATTTCTTCCAGTTGGTCTCTAAATTTTGAAAGTTTTTCATTCCACATAGCCTGGAATTTATATATATTTAGTATGTTGACATATATGGAAACATTTTCATTAAAAGTTTGACAGATCAGTATTTTTCCTATGATAATCCTCTGGTTCCAGTACAATTTATTTGTTGAATTCTCAAGGATAATTTTGAAGTCTGTATTTGTAGTATGGGGATTAGTCATCTGTTGGTTTATGAAAGATAGTAAGCTTCTGATTTACAATTCTAGCTACTAGATCATGCCTTGCTAGATATCTGGTAGATGCTAAATTTGTAGAATCTCCAATGATAGTGTCGCCCACTTCCTTTTTCTTGAATACTGTTCTTCCTTGAACAGTAAATCTGTGCTTCTTAAGAATAACTCTTCTGTAATTTCTGGTGGTGATCACCTAATCCTGATTTCCCATGGTTAACTCTTCCATTTCTATAAAAAAAAATCCCCATGACTTCACAATTTGTTCCATGATTCTATGTTGACATATTGCCATATTAAGTTCATGTGAATGTCCCCCATGGAGGGCATTTTAATTCTACTCTTGGATCTTAGGTTTATTTTAGAAGTAGACTACTTTTGCTTAGATTTGACAAATTCAGTCATGTACCATTTGGCAGCCTTTACTTTTGCTCAATAAAATGATGCCTATTCCAAAAGTGTTTCTTTCCTAAGTGTAATAATATGATAAATTTATATAAAAAATAACATTAGCATTGAATACTTGAGTATATATGTATATGTGATGATGATGATTATTATAACCTTGGAAAAAGAATTTTGGAAACAAATATGTATATTTCTTAGGGATGGTATTTAATGAAGACCCCCACATCTTAATCTTTTTTTTTCTGCCTACTTTTCCAGTATTGATGATTTTTCTATCCATTTTCCTAATACATCCATATTTCATCAGTGTTGGAAACCTCTCCATCTGATCATAGTCCATCTATAATTTATAGTTTTAGAGTCTTGCCTAGGGCTGAGGAAGGTTAAGTTCAGGGCCACATAGCTAGTATCGGAGGTGGGATGTGAACCTCAAGGCTTCTTAACTTCAGGTCCAGCACACTATCCACTATAACACATTTCCTCACTATATTCCCATAAACCGTATAAAAACAGTCATCATATTCATTTACATCGTTATGTCATGAAAGCCACCAATATCACCAGTATTACCTCTTGGTTTTGGATAATTCAGGAAGGGAAAGGGGGTGCAGGACATAACTGCCTTTATGATCCGGTGGGGGGAAATTCTTCCTGGTCCCATTGAGCAGAACTATTTCAAATATCTTCCAGCGGGACAACTGAAGCTGTTATGGAAGAGTACTTAAACTGCAAAAACAAACAAAAAACAAAACATCAAACAAAATAATGGAGTTTCTAATTAGAGGCTTTAATCTGTACAGTCAGGATGGATGGGAACATTTTAGCTGTAATAAGGCAAAGAATAACCAGTCATACTCTGAGACCCATTAAAAGGGCTACCATTAAGTAACAAAAAAAAAATGAGCTAACATATATAAAGCACTTTGCAAACCTTGAAGCATTATATAAATGCTGATTGTTATTATTATTAATTCATCAATTCATTCATTAAACACCTTCTGAGTGCAAAACACTTTGTCAGGTGTGAGAGTATGGTGGGGATGGAAATGGAAGGGGGAGATACAAAATTTGGTAAAATAATAAGGGATTATTTATTAATGGATAAAACTTAGTTGCTGCTCTTACAGAGTTTTCATTTTGGTAAGGGGAAACACACATCCTAATTGCTATAACATACAAATTCACAGGATAAAAGCATTAGTGAATTCTGAAGCAAAGAACTGAAGAGGGGAAGGTGTTACATGGAAAAGAGGTGGTTCAACTATGAAGAGAACAGAGAAGAATTTAGGAAAATTGCCCCCAAATGCCCAAGTTTAGATATTAGTAACAAGCTTTCTTAACTTAGAACCTGGATCTAATTTAATATGAAGCACTGCACATTAAATCCTAATTTCTTTTAAAAATGTTATTGATATCTTTTTTACATCACAATCATATTCCTTCCTCCTTCTTCCATACTCTTTCTTGTAAAAAGAAAAAAAAAGAAAAAGAAAAATTCTTAAGAAAGATGAGCAGGTATAGCAATCATCTGTCCATTTACATTAATATAGCACAATTGTTCATCCATTCCCCAATAATTAGGCATTTATTTTGTTTCTAGTTTTTTGCTAGCACAGAAGTGCTGCTTTGAATATTTTTGGCACATAGAAGAGCTTTCTCATTGCCTTTGATTGACGTCCTTACAGTACATACTCAGTAGTGGCATCAGTCACATAGTCAGGGTCAGTATGAATAGTTTAGTAATTTTTTGCATATAATTAAAAGCCATTTTCCAGAATGATTGGGAAAATTTATAGTTTCACTAAAGGGTATTAGTGTACCTGACTTCTCACAACCTCACCAACATTGACTGTTTCTTTTTTTTAAATCATATCGGCCATTTTGAATATGAGGTGAAATCTTAGAATTGCTTTAATTAATTTAAAAATATTAATAATATGATGCATTTTCATATGATTGTTGATAGTTTATATTTCTTTTTTTTAAATAGTTCATATAAATTGTCCCTTTTTTTGGTTGGAGAATAACCCGGAATTTTATATATTTGTTTCAATTATACATATATATGTTATATACTGGAAAATAGATTTTAATAATGATTTTTTTCTTTATTTCAATTTAATTCAACACATATTTATTAAGCACAAACTATCTCCAGGGCACTGGGGATATAAAGACAAAAACCCAATATTTCTTTTACATATAAAAAGCTTGTATTTTATTGGAGGGATGTGAAAAATACAATGTTAAATAAATTGGAGAAATTTTTTCTTCTCAAGAATAATTTCTCACCTCTCCATACATCAAAACCTCTTATCATCTAGGCTTAAATACACATCAAAGATACTGCCCCTAAGGAGCTTACAGTACATAAAAGTAAGCTGAAAAGCAAGGGGTAAGGGAAGAAGTACATGGCTGGAGGGGATGGGGTATGATTGAGAAGTCCAAAAGAGTGAAGCCTTGTGGGAAATGAAGAGATGGAGGAACTGGACATCCTCCTTAACTTCCTCCTTAACTCTGGGAGGAGTTCTCCACCCTCTACCCTCCAATGGGGGGGGTCCCCAGAGGCAGAGAGTACTGATGAAGTTTTAGTTCCAGGGCTAAAGTGATCTTGCAGGGTGAAGAATTTCCTGGTGGAAAAGTCCTGAGGAGTATAGCCAGATGGGACTAGAGTATCTCTCAAATAAAAATAATCCCTATTATACAAGTAGATATGTCAAATGAGAAAACAACAAAAGAAGTCAGCAAGGAATTAAAACTATGGAAATAAAAAGATAAAGGAAGTCTAGCCCAAATCACCATATTTTCCTGTCATACCCCTAGATATTCCACTTTCTATGGTGTGGGGGGAAGGAGAAGACAGTGTATTTCATTTGCACTTAAAATTGGGATTTGGTATCTCTTCCACAGCCCAGAAAGGACCAGATGGGACTGTCATTCCCAATAATTACTGTGACTTCTGCTTGGGAGGTTCAAGCATGAACAAAAAAAGTGGCCGGCCAGAGGAACTAGTGTCCTGTGCAGACTGTGGACGCTCTGGTAAGTGTGACCCCTACCCTGCCCTCGGGGAGCTTTCTTACCCAGGCACCTAGGAACAACCCGTGTTTTTACTTTTCAGCTATCTAGGATAAGATGCAGGAGGGGAAATGATACAGGGTAGTAATAATGATGGTGGTTCTGCCATTTTTCAGGTCTTCTTAGAATTTTGTGACAATTTTTTAAAAAATCTAAAGGGTAGGAAGCAGTTACTGATATATTTCTGGCCTTTCCACGGGCAGGTTTCTTTGATGTGCGTGTGTGTGTGTGTGTGTGTGTGTGTTGTTGTTGTTGTTGTTGTTGTTGTTATTGATGTTGTGGAAGACAATAAGTTGGAACCAGATCACACTGAGTTAAAGCCTTTTTGTGTTCCTTTATCAGGTGATGGTGCATCTCAATATGCAGAGCTGTTGCTTTAATGGAAATGGTTGGGGTGGGAATGGGGGATAAGGGAGTCAGTGGGTAAAAGTATCCAAGAATGATACTGGAAGACTGGTCATGTCTGGACATTCATGACCTTTGGGCTTCGTAGTAGCTGCATGAACAACACTTCCATTGGCCATACATTCCATACATTTTCTCATGTAGACCAGACCAAAGAAAACACAGCAGAGTAGAGGCTAAGAGGTAGGGGCTGGCAGGGCTTAGATGCTGCTAAATGGTCTTAGTAACCTTTTTTTTTTCATTGTTCCTGTTTTCAAGGACTTAAAGAAGTGCTCCATTTGGTCTTGTCCTTTCGTTTTCAAAATAAATTTAGGTCTTTATGGTTTATCTCAAGTTGTTATTTTGTTTTATTTTGCTTTTTGATACTACCAAAGTCATTATCTGTAATTTGTCAGAGTTGATCAGACAGGCTATTTTAAATAATTATATTGTTATAAATAGACTCCCAGAATCTCAGAGTTGGAAGGGACCTTGAAGGTTTTGAGGTCCAAACTCAACTGAAGCACTAATCCCCTTTACAACATCCCAGTAAGTGGGGACTCATTACCTTACATGGTAGTCCATTCCATTTTAAAAATAGCTCTATTAGGAAATTCTTCTTATATTGAGCTGAAAGGTAACCCTGTAACCTCCACTCATTTGTCCTAATTCTTCCCTATGGAGCAAAGCAGAATAAGTCCAAGCAGTGAAGGTGAAAGGTGACAAGAGATTTCAGTCTCCGCTAAGTGACTGCAGTGTTTCTGACTAGAAGCTAAAAAACACATCAGGATGTTTCAGCCAACTCTGAGCAGAGCAGTGAGGAATGGTCCCCTCAACCTTCCTTTCCTCTCCCAGCCCGCATGGGGCAGCTTCTTACTCCTTGAATTGCTTTTACTCCTTATTTCTTCCCTTGTTTTGTCTACTATAGTCATTAGCCTGCACCTTTTGTCTTGGGGTGTCAAGGTTGATACAGATGTAGACCTAGTAGAGCTGGCAAGTGAGATGTTAACAAAGGATTCCAGTTCCCAGTCCCCACGACCTCAGCATTAAATCAGCAGACCCAATGACAGAGTGGTTTGCTTGTATGTAACTCTACCCAATTTCTTCTGGAAGTAATTTGTTCAGTTGCTTTCCAGACACAGTCTACAATTGTTATTGTGTTGGACTTCTAACTCTGACAGGTGGTAGCTTGGGCAGACAGAACCTGTGTAATTGCTGGACTCTGATCGACAAATAGTTAAAAAAGCCAATAACACACATATTTCTCTCCACATATAATATACACGTATTTTTATGTGTGTATATGTATGTGAACATATTAAAAACCCACATACCCCATCTGTAGAAATATATAATATATAATGATCCTGTACCATAGCAAGCAAAGACTTCCATCTCAGGTAGAACTGGGAGAGGGGAAACAAGAGTAGTTTTCAGGAGTTTTCCATGTTCTTTTCCCCTCAGGAAACTGAATTATGGTGGAAACAGGAGTGAGTAAGTGACTCTCCACTTGAAACTTCTCAGCTATCCTTCCCAAATTTGCTTCCTTATCTTAAAAAACCATAGGTGATTATCTTATGGTCCCCGTACTTCTATGATACTAACCTAGGATTTTATTTGTATGGATCATTCAACCAATGTCTATCTCAAATATCTGTCAAATAGCTGTCTGCTTTGGGATTGGCTTATGGCTCCGTTTGTCAAGCTTGGGAAGGCAGGTTGGATGATATTTCTGGATAGCCTTTCTGGTGTCTCTTCAGGGAAGAGATAGGAACCAAGAAGAGCTATTTATCCTTTCCCACCTTTCCCTCTACCTCCACTATCCCTTAGGGCCTGAGGTGCTTGAAACTGGCAGCTTCAGTGACTGGGATTATAATGGCTGGAGACACTCCTGGGGCCCATTATGAATGTGGAGAAGTGTCAGCTGCAATTTTGTAGATTTTAGTACTTTATACAATGATTAAATTTCTTCACTTTTAGTCCCTACTCTTTCTCACCTGATGTACCACCTTCAGTTGGACTTAATACTGCTTTGAACTCTTGAGAGTACCAAGACTCTTGACTAAGGGCATTTTAAGTGGCTGAAATATGTGTGTGTGTCCTGGTTAGATGGTCTTGGTCTTTTTTTTTTCCAATTGTAAACAGGAGAGTGCATTCTTTGATCACTCATTAGACTTTACAGTGAGGTTTTTGTTTTTGGTGGGGAGGGAGGTAGAAATGAATTACGTGATGCGGGAGTGAGAGAGCAGACAGGGGTGGAAGGGTTGGAGTGAGAAATGGATGAAAATAAAAATAAACTGGGAGAGGATTAAATGCCTCTAATGGGCTATCTGACAGCAATAAATTTGTGAAACGGGCTGCCAAACTGAAGGACAGTCATTGTGCAAAGAGCCAAACAGCCTTTAAGTTGTGCAGGCTTATAAGCAGTCAGGGGAAAACATTCTCTTGGCTGGGGTGTGAATAAGAGTGGGGAAAGCACATCACTGACCCTTTCACTGCCAGAAGCTTTGGATACTTGTACTGTGGTACAGGGATCTTTTCTCATTAAAAAAAAAAAAAACAAGCAACAAAACAAATCCCCTGCCTCTAAAACGCTCCCATTGTCCTGGTGCACAATAGCACACCACAAGGTCGTATACATTCAATCCCTTTGAGTTTCAAAATGGTGCATTGTCTAACAGTGGTAAGAATAAACTTGTAATGATATGATATTAATATGAATAATGCTGTCTGTTGCTTAACCCATGTGCTGATATATTCATCATACATGTCAGCTCATTTGGGAGGAGAAGGCAGGAAGGAGAAGGAGGCGGCGGCCGCAGCACGAAGTACGGAGGACTTGTTCGGTTCCACGTCTGAAAGTGACACCTCAACTTTCCACGGCTTTGACGAGGATGATTTGGAAGAACCTCGCTCCAGCCGAGGAGGACGCTACAGTGGCAGGGGCTCTCCCACAGCAGACAAAAAAGGCGGCTGCTAAATCCAGTCAACAAACTCTGGGCCATGGGCGGTAGCCCTTCGTACTTTGGTTGTTGTTCTGGTCCCATTAAAAAAATAGAACTTTAGATTTCCTCCCCCGTCCCCATCCCACTACCTTCCCTGCCTTTTCCTCACGTCCTCCATATTCTCACATCCCCTTACCTTTACCTCTACCGCTCCCCCACTTCCCACCACAAGTTTTGGTGATAAGCACCAAAAGCACAAACTATTTAAAAATTCAAAAACTCCAAGGGATGACTCCCTCTTCCCTCAGAGAGAACTTTGATTTACAGGGTTTTTTTCCCTCTAGAAACCAGAAATCATGTGGATTATCTTTTGGGGACAGACAGATGGGGGTGTACATTTCCCCTAAACCATTAAAAAACTCAAGTAGAGTCAATTTTTTCATTTTTCATATTTATTGGCAAAATGATAAGAGCACTAACAGAGAGATTGGAGACAAAGAACCAACAGAAGTAAGGTTTTGAAAATTATTATTTATATAATTAGTTATTATGAGAAATAGATTCTTTGAAAAATAAATCAACCTAATACCATCCCATCCAGGGGGCAAAAAGGCACTGGAAGGAGAATTCTCCCAAGGAAACTTAGTTAGGATGACTTCTGTGATGTGAGATTTTTGACTTGGTGTCCCATTTGGTGTTTGTGGTTTGTCACCCCATCCGACAGTCACACCTCTCCCCTCTCCCTTCCCTTCTTTCCCCTTCCCCTTCCTCTTTGACAACCCCTGCCAGCTCGGAAACCACAGCAGCTCTGGAGAAGTGACAGGTCGAGAAGGGCCAGGTTTCCATGCATCCACCTCCAGGCACCTCAGTAGCCATCCAAAAGCAATCGCCTCCTCTTCAGCTCCTCCTCAGGCAACGCTGCTGGCTTTGTAAAAAAAAAAAAATGTTTTCTTCTTCTCACCTCTCCCCTGGGTGAAGAGCAATGTCCAAGGGCAGGAATGGAATAGAAGTGGAATATTTGGAACTCAACATTGATGAAACAGCCAGAGGACATGAATCCTAGAAGAAATGAAAAGGAAAAATACCTCACTTGTACATTTCCCATCCCATTTTAGAAAATGTACATAAATACCCTTTGGATTGTCAGGCCGTCCGTATTTCTTCTTTCTTCTCCTTCTCCTTCTTTTTTTTTTTTATCATATATATATATATATATATATATATAGTGCCGGCCAGGCACCTTGTTTTATGTTTCCAATAGCACATCCCGAAATTAACCAAAGCAATACTTGCTCAACTCTCCCGGGCAACAGAGAAGAAAAGTCACCTCTCTGATTGGCTGTCCCAAGAAAGAACAGATGAGCAGTCCTCATTCAAAAGGTATGTCTAGCTTGTATCTGTTTTGTATTTTGGGTCCAACTATCCCACCATGATTTTATTTCTCTGTTCCCCGTTCCTTACTTCCTAGTGGGTCCTATCACTGATAGTGAGCTTTGCTGTTGGAGTGAATTCAACATGAAAATCTCGTCAGTCAACAAGCATTTGGGCACAGGGGACTGAGGTAGAACTATTGTCACATAGTTTGTTTGCAAAGTTTGAGTGGAAGCTCTTTGGAAAATTTAGAGGCCAGGGCAG